AATGTGAACGAACGAAATGCTGTTTTGATTTTACTGACCTTAAATGCAAGATTACCGATGTTTATATTTAGGATATTCTATTATGGAATTGTTTGTAACATTTCTCTATCTTCAGCCAAGCATTTGATTTGTCGATTTCAATGTCGCATTAGTTGATTTAATTGGTTTATTACCACTTGTACACAGCAAGATCGAACTAGCTACTTCGATAAGAATGTTAGTATTGTTTTGAGGGTGGAGTGCAAATACGTGAATTGTTCTGGGATTTAAGTGGTAATGTTGATGTTGACGAACTCACATGCGGTGAAGCTATCAATGTTCTGCGTTCAATGAACGAGGTCACTATTTGATTTTACCGCTTTCTATTTTATTGTATTTCAGTTGTGAAGAAAAATTTAGTGTGACATCTTATGAAGCTTTTTATGAAAGTTGGAGTTCGTCAGCAATGTCGTTTTCTGATGCAATAATTGTTCTATATAAAGGGGATTCTTATCAGCTGTGTTCAAAGCAAACTCTGTTTGGCCAAGAAAATGTTCTAATCATTTTCAGGAGGAGAAATCTCATTGTTGCAAAGCAACTTTGAATGCATTGTTGAATAAGGATAATCCCAGATATGTTCAACTGGAAAGGGTTCTTTCATCAATTTTTATTGCTGCATGCAATGAAGGTGTTTTATCACTTTCGTAAGTTTCTGTTACCAATTAAGTAGTTCATCAAGACTTATGCTTAAATTTCTGATTCGATTTCAGTCCACAGATCTTCACTTAGTTTTACTCAAGCTTCACTTCATACTCCTCCACATTTTTTAGTTTACTATTTATATGAAAATTTTGAAAGCATGGAGTAACAAGGATCAAGCAGTTATCATATTTAACCGTTCATAGAGCAGTTAAATTGAAGCACTCTGTTGGGACCATAAGCTATCCTAATCAGCCAGTCTGTGATATTACATAAAGCTGAGATAAATTTGTTTCGTTCAAGATTGACTGAAATGAATTCTTGGTTCAGTTTTTCATTTTTGTGCGTTTGTTTTCTTGAATTTCTTTGCATATTGAAGGGAGTGCTGTGAACTGTTGATTCTTTGTACGGATTTTACGTTGTCAACACCAATTGATGCACGTAAATTTGAATACATGCAAAGGAATTTGCATTTGATAGATTATAAAGGTCTTCGGAATATATTGAAGTTGTTGGTTGTTGAACGTATGCAAGAAGTACCATCGACTATCACCAATCATCAACGTCATATGCTTCTTCCCGTTGAAAATGTAAAACTTTTCGATATTCATCAACTAATATAAAGCTACAGGTCATCCAAATGCTTAATTTAGTTAAGACTTTCCCGAAGAATATTTTGAACATATGATTCTTCGTATTACTGACAAGATCACCGAATGCTAACCAAGCCGAATGTATTTATGATCGCGTTACAAAATTAATGATTGTGAGTTAATGGGAGAGGAAGCATTACAAAGCAGTGAACAATTCAGTGTTGTTTATTGAAAAATGATTTACTTTCTAGATGCTACTGACTTTAATTGATCGGCAATTGAATCTTTTGCCGTGTCTGTTCACCATAACCGAACTACATCGTGTTTCCAGTAACTCTCGTGCGTTCCTTTTACCGGTAAAGTTTTTTATTTCATCAGTTGTTATTTTTAGATAACTTACTAAATATCACACTGATACTTATAGCGCGTTGCAAAAAAGTTCAACGAAACGTTCATATCGTTTCGTCCTCTCACTGAAATGGTCACTGTAATCGGTCGTCCATGGTTATATCCAATTGCTTCGCATATTTCTTTCCCGGTTAGTACATCTTCTTGGAAACTCGAAGTGGCCACTACAAAACTTCATCAGCGTGCACATTTACCCTATAAATCTGAGTTATTCGCACCTCAGTCCTCACTTCTATACACACTCCTACGGCAACCAAGAGGCAAAGATACTTTATCGGTAAGTCCATTGAAACTTTTCATCATAACCTTCAAATTTTATCTTATGACACTTTTAATTTTCAGTACAAATTATTTCTTATAGCTGTATCTCATTAACATAACATTTCCCCGCATTTCTTCAAGGTTGTATTTATGGGAAGAAATAAATGCTATATTCTCATAATTTTAGTACGTTTTGCGACAAAATACAAATATGACTCCGCAACGAATTCAGTGTGATGAGCTTTTACATATGATAATTCTGGAAGCAATGAGTGAGATGGAGAAAACTGATACACGTCTAGATGATGCAGCCAATCAGTATCAGTGGATGAATATCACTCAAACCGTTACGTTCTCACTGCTGCATGGAATGGCATCCTTCTCAAGACTTTTGAAAATACTCTACGAATCGGTAATTGTTCACTTTATATTACTCCTCCACATCTAATTTCTTCTGCTGTCATCATCAGTCGTTTTAAACTTACAGTGTAAAACTATTCAGTCATAATGTGAAGTTATTTGATGTGTTCGTTGTAAAAGCATATGATTTTCATGTCGTATCTTATATTCCCTCTATGTTCACATCTAATTCAAATGGAAAAGAATAATTAAGTGAAATTCATGGCGATGTTTTTCATATTGAAAGCATTTTGCTGTGTTGGTCATGTATAAATCGTGCTTTCTGGTGCATATTCATGTGATATGTGCTGACTATTTGGGGTTTAGCTTTCAGAAACAGTCTATCGAAAAGGTCGTGATGAACTGATGTGGGTTATCTTGCAATACGTGGCCGTTTATATTGGTAAAGTATCGAATGAAGATATGATACGAATTGCTGACATTTACAATCTTCTTTATAGGTTTTTCATTTCATTCATTGTTTTTCACTTTTCAATTGCCTCTAGTTTGTGCTTAATTGTTTTGCATCAGATGAATGATTCTATGAATAATTTCCGTTTTGTTTTCTTCTGATCAAAGTATGCTTTGATTCGACAAAGAACTCTGAGACTAAATTTTTAGTTTAATAGGATGGTTGAATGTTTTTTTTTGTGTATTCATTAGAAGGAGTGCGATCTATTTAGATTAATTGTTTGTTTATTTACAGTGATGAGCAGTGCTGGTCCGGTGCAGATACCGATCCGTTATTGTTCGTTCGTTTTTTTGTACCTGCCGCCATTTGGATCCATTTCTATAAAAAACCGAATTCACAAGCTTCAGAAGTATTGCCAAAGCCATCCGAATCATTGCTGCGTCAGATACAGTTTCTTCAAGAAAAAACATCTGATTCAGATCCAGCCATTCAGAACGTAGCTGATCACAACGCTGTTCTCGCGGCTGTAGCAAATGCTTGTTAGTAGTGTTCGTTCGTTACATTATTCGGTGAATGTGCTGAAAAGGGGACATAATTTTGTTATTGGAAAATGGTAATTGATTAATGAACGTTAGATGAGCACTTAACTGGTTGGAAATACAGTGGAAAGAAATACAGATAGGACAAAATGAAAACTTAATTGGTACTTTGAGTGCAAAATCTGAAGTTTAAACTCGCAAGTGGATTGTTTCAATCGATCATTGCTACTAATGTATCTATTACTAATGCTGCTGTGCATCTATTAAATATTTTTCAGATAGTAACGATATGCAAAATTTTCATAAATTGGTGCTAACAGCAGTTGATATGTTTCTTGATGGGATAGGTGAAGACGCGACAGGTTCATTATGGAGATTACCGCATGGTATCATTTGTCTACCAAAGAAAACACCACTTCCTTTGCCATTGATTGATTCATTAACGTTCCATTCGCGCAATCATCTTTTCCAAATGTGCCTTCATAAACTTTCAACAATGCTCAATGTTCAACAAAGTGCCAAACTACCAAGTCCCGCATCAATTGGTAAGTTAATCACGTCGCGTATACAATTTCAAAATTTACGGTCGCGGTGTCACTTCTGTTGCTTCGTTTTTTACAATGAGTGATGGGTTTCACAGCAAGCGTACAATATGAATTTTGAACACATTTTCAGATACATTGGTTCGATTAGCATCAACAACTGAATTTGAATACGGTGTTAAATTGGTGTTGACATTGATGCCTCGTGCACTAGCATCCATCAGTGCAAACGCCAACATAGGTGCTACTAATCAACCGGATCGTTCTCGTGACCTGCTCTATATTCTTTGTGATATGCTTTCTTATCGCCTTATCAACTATCCACTTCCAGTTATTCCTAAGGTTCGTTTTTGTTCACCTTTATGAAAGCGTTTATTGGTCGTTTTACTCTGCTCTAATTTATAGGTATGTTGTATCACTTTGCTGTTAATTTCACTGTAATTTTTTCCATCGTTAATAAAGTTCATCCGTCCTATATTTTTTACTTCATCGTTTTTTTTTTCAATTTTGTCCTAAACCTGCAGCATACAGTCGAAGTTAACAGTCAGTTTTTTTTGCATATTCAATATTGAACTATTTTCACGTCAAGCATTATAAAATTGCTATGTAAATTGGAAGGTTGATCATATTTGCTATATTATAGGTGAACGTTATTCTTTCGTGTTATTCGGCACTCAGCAATAATCAAGTCCAAATGAACGTAGCACTTTATTCAGCGCTTGAACAAGTTATGTTACGATATTGGATGTGGAATTCACCTCAAGAAATGATTGTTCTCTGCAATGCACTAATTGGTTTTCTTTTTTATCATTTATATGACCCTTATTCAGTCACCTTATTTATAATTCACCCAGACAGTTTGCTTTTTGAATGGTAGCTGGCCATTCATTGAAACTGATCGTTCGCTTCAGTTCTACTTTAGTTGAGTTAATTAAAGAATGCTTCTTTTATTGTTTCAATATGTATCTCTTCAATGAGTCTATTATGTGCTAGAACCGTTTCGGAACTAAGCAGGATCATCGCTGTTACTATTTGATAATCAAAGCGTTTGCTCTAATAAGTGGAATGTTTACTAGGTAAACAAGGAAAGTTAACTGCTCTGATATCGTCACCGAACTCGTTTGGTGAACCACAACATGGTTCATCGATATCACATGAAAGACCATCACACGCCAATTTGCACGTTTCGCCAGAAATGTTGCGATCACTTTTACTTTCAATGTTTCGTGCTTTAAAACTCACAGGTTCTTTTTAAATGTTAATCATTCTTTATTATTTATGCATCATTTTTGAACCTTTTCGTGTGATTTGCTGTTTAATTTGCATTTACATTACTAATAATAGATGTCCGATTCAGTTCTAAGTATAGATTTCGGGAAACAGTTTGTTCAGACTTGTCTTATAAGAGGAATATGTAGGCTGAAAACACGTATGATATGGTTTTATTTTCAAAAAAATTATTTTAAAGGCGTTGAAATGGCGTCTGAAGTTCTACAGCGATGTAACGCAAACTTTAGTTGGCCTTTATCTGTTAGTCGAACATTCAGTACGCAATTGATGGGTTGTTCGATCGATGATGGCTCGGAAGTTGCACCCAATGAAGAACTCTTTCACTGCGTTGATCAAGATCATCGACGTACACATGGTAGGTAAATTTCTTTATTAACCAATGCGAATGGATGATTATTGTGATATTGTAAGTGTTTACAGAATATCTCTGCACGCAATCCGAAGAATCGTTGATCAAGTATTTCACGATCGAAAGAAGACATACACTCTTCTGTGTGATTTATAATCATCTTATTTACGATTCCAAGAAGTTACATCCCGTTTTCTATTCGTAAGTATTGACATTTCAAGACTTGGCGTTATACAACTTACATCATTAGAATGAACAATCTGATTTTTGGATCCTTAATCCATTTTTATCTGTGTTCCTCATTTTGCAAATCAGTTCTTTCTATTGAGCATTCAATAAACGTCAGTTTCAGTATGCTAAATTCAATGACCGCTAAGGACATCATTGTGATGGTTAATAAATTCGTCGATTATTTCATATATATTTTCAAAAAAAATCCTCCGTCAGATGACCAAACTTTCACTACGGTAAGTCTTCATTTGTTATTATTATTTTCGTTTATCTATTATTATTATTATTATTATTATTATTATTATTGTTATTATTATTATTATTAATCCTTATTATTATCATTATTATTATTAATCGCATGGTTGTTATCGATGTTATTAATCCTGTTGTCATCACTGTATTGTTTTGTGATGTAAGTCACTTGAAGATGGTTTCTGTGCTGAACGATATGGTGTTTATGCATCAATTAATACCATTCGATCGACTGCTCTTCGCACTCGTTTTGCATCCGACTGATGACCGGGCCACTGAAATATCGCTTCTAATAATTCATTCAATGGTTATTTGATCATTAATCTATTCACATTTGTAGCTTAAATAGCCAACTTTCAAGAAAATTCCTTTGTGCTATGAAGTAATCAGATTAAAATCAACGTAATTTCACGTATTATTTTCCTTAGTTTCAACACGCTTATGCGTTGTTGTTTCCTGAATGATTCTATTCACAATTCATTTCTATGAATATTAAATCCACTTCAAACTTATTATAATCTTCAAGTGTTCAGGTCAGCTCGTTCTCGGATGTGCGGAATCGTCTCGGTTTTCTTTTTCATTTCATTCCATCAAATAAAATCGTCAACACCAACTCATCGTTTTTCAATAAAATGTCTGAATATTATTCGGTTTGTCCTTTCTATACTACATTTCTAATTGTTTCATTTAATAATCGCGTTTCAAAGATTCTCGATTCAATCAATTGCTGAAAATTTTTGTGTCATCTTCTATGTCTACTGTATTATCTATGTCTACCCATCTTCTGCTGTGTCATATTGCAAGGGATTTTTTCAGTACTGTAGATAAGTTTATCGGTCTGTAGTGAAATCAGTTACTTGTTTACTCGTTCTGTTTATTGTAGCTATTGTAAATTACCATTCCATATATCCTTTCAATGTGGACAGAGTACAGCGAATCAAAGCATTTGGTGATCAAGCATTATGCTTAACGCTGATCTCGCTAGTTTAACACCATTATGTTAATTCTCTATATATTATTCATTACAACCATGCCATTAAAAAAAGTAGATGTAAGCGCCTTTCACCAATCGACTTCTGATTCGATTACCTTTTCTAATTTCAGCAATATCCGGAACTTACGTATAGAGAAATGGAGGTAAAGCTGCGGAGAGAGATGCAACTGGAACTGCAACTCCGTCAAATGGAGCAACCAGTCATCAATCCAGAATTGCACATGCCAATATACTATGGGAACTTGGCTGAGCGAATTCTCCCAGTAATCTCATTTTACATGTTTACGTTGACCCGTTGTGATTGTATTAAACACCTGACGATGCTTTTTTAATGTATATCGTCAACAAATGATTGAACAATTTGATTTTGGAAGAAATAATTTTGTAATGTAACTTTGACATGGGCTCATTTTTGTACACAGGTAGAGAGCGACGACTCTTTCTGAAGAGTGAATACAAATTGAATCATCACTGTGAAAACATTTAGAACTGACAACAGGGGATACTTATACTGCAAATATTTTTGTTATGCTTGAATGCTGTTGAAAGCGAATGTCATGCTGTAATATTTTTAGGTTGTCGATATTCTTCTTCAGAGGGCACTTGAATTGGCGGTTGCTGATCAACTCTTCAATCCGCTACTGAAGAGCTTCAAGCCGTGCTATAAATATCACCGTAAGATTGCGTTACTGTTCGCTTATTTCCCTGAAAATATCGTTTTGAAATTATTCTCGATACGAATTTAATTTGTGGTTTTCGAGAAGAATCGATAATTCCCATTTCATGGAGCGATAATCGTTGATTTCAATTATTGTTTCGTAATAAGTCGTGTTCTGCTATCGTACTCTGCAGGGGACACCCGAGACGATTTAAATGTTTCAATCGGGTTCTTATCCCTTCTGGAACGAACAGCCAAACTGGATTGTTTCTTAGAGAACAATTCTTATTTTCTTCTTTTCTTGGTGTAAATAAGCAAAATGGTGTTTTTCACAACAATTTCACTTATCCATCTGATTGACTATTTCTGTTCATTTGGTGATATTTTACATATATAACTGACTCAAATCTTTAATTAAGGAAAGGTCATGTTTTAGAAGGCGTGTGAATGCTGGAGCATATGTTAAGATAGTGATATTGCAAGTAGTGTTATTGTTAATGATAATAATACTAAAAATATTCATGGCAGCAATAATATTAATTGTTTAATCAGCAATTACAAGTTTATGTCCCTCTGTTAGCAACAAAATTACACATATTGTATAAAGATATCAGTTTTGGAAATCATCTATTTTCATGAGTCTCATCGGCGAATAATTAACGATTTGAGAGGCACATCGGGTTACTCTCGCAATTCGTCCAAATATGTTTAGAAATTGTGTTTATTTGATAAATAAACACGATTTTTTTTAGCGCAACCAGCTGCATATATGTACAACGTTCTGTATTGTCTTGATAACACGTTATCGCATACAGCCAAGGCTCGTTTGTTTGTTTCAGAGATATGCGGTCAACTGGAAGAAAGGTTTGTTTGTTGACTGATAGTTGCTTACTAGATCAGTGCTCAATGAACTAATGATCGCTCTATAGAATAATTGATTTGATGATAACTCATTGCTGCAGAGATGGTAAATATGCGCTGCTAACTCCTTCGTTTATACAAGACAATCATCAGCTATCATTGCCATCACAGTTCTGTCAAGTGTTAGTCGATCGAATCTTACAAGCTTCGCATTATCCTCATCAGCCGCCTCCATTTGTATATAGGGTATACATTTTACATTTTTTTCAAAATAACCCCTCAGTTTTGAGCATTAGTTCGTATTTCATTTATTGTTCGTTTATAACGTCAGCAATTTTTTAATGCTTTGTCATCTATATCGGGCATTTGCTAGTAGATAAAAGTAATAATTGCTTCAAATATGGAGTGCGATTTCAGGATTGGCGATTTGCTGAATTGGCGCCGGCTGGTCAAGCGCTCACTGGTGCATGTATAGAACTGTTAGCGTCGCCTCATGATCCTTCTGTAACGGCTCGAGCCCTAATTGATCTTGTGTTTATTCGACCTCTTCATCAACCGTATCTCACATTCGTTCTTGTTACTTTTATCCCTCATGAAAAATGAAATTCTGTAGATTTTCGTCAAGCGTTTACATTGAAGTTGCATTTGTTTTGCCTTAATACGCGCTTGTGACTCATTCTATCGAAGTCATCGATCTGAAGTAGTTTTTCTTTTCTTTTATTCTTCACATTCTTCGCCAAAACACGTTTTCATGTACAATACCTTATGAGTTCACATCAATGATTGAATCATATCATGAGTGTGATTTCATTTGAATATTGTATCGTGTGGATATTATTATAAATAACAATTTACAGTTATGCAACCATAAATACTGTTGCACTCATCTTGACGGCATTACCGAGCTCCTTTCAACGTATTTTCTACGATCATATCGTTTCAGTTCTTGATTCCGAGGCGTTAACACAAGGTATAATAACATGTCACACAAATATTATTTTTCTAAGCTTTTTGTTATGATTAGTTTCATTCATTTTGTTCATCAATAATTATTTCATTTATATATGTAGTGAATGTATTTATTGCATTATTCAGTTCAAAATGATCATTTTTTATATTGCATTGTAACTATATTTCAGGTGATCCGTCTGTTTGTTTTGAAAGTCTTGAGAGTGAATGTTTTCTCCTTACAGAGAACCAGTTGTTAACGAATCTTGCTCTAGGACATGCTTATTTGCAACACTGCAACACGGTACTATTTCATTGTTTTATCTTAATTGGAATCAACAGAAATTACGAATTTTATGTGTGGGTAAATTTAAGCGGAGGAAATTCCTTTATATAACTTATATCTGAATCCAATTAGATGGATTTTTATCCAGGTTTCTTCTTCAACCTGACATACCGCTACAGCTCGTAGCAAATTCAATCTCATGACAGATTTGTGAAAGTATCGTTCATCTGATGCAGATAAACACGCATCTGTAAGTGGAAACCTCAGTCATCGCCCCGAAAATTGAAACTGACATTGGGGGATCCATGTTACAGTGCTTTTTGAGAGCGATGCTGAGAATAAAATGAATTGAAACTGATGAACGATAACTATTTGGTGATCATTCAATATTTTGTGTAGAACTGGAAATTTCTGACGGGTGATTGATGATAATGAAAAAGCAATTGGTTCATTTTCAGAGTTCTTTGGCAGCTTTACCCGAATTCGTTCGCGATAAATTAGCGCCAAAGTTGGTCACTGAAGCGCAACTGATTTTTGTATTGCGTCTTGTTGTGCCTATTTTGCAACGATTTTATGACATGAAAGAAAGAAGCAAACAAATTCAAGATGTTAGTCTTTTATACTACACTCATTTCGTTTACTGACCTGTATCACCTACAAAATCCATTCGTCGGCTTTGAATCGATTCAAAACGATAATCTCGTAACCAAGAGCTTATTCTTACTAAGTGTCATAAAGGAATCGAAAACGATCTGTTGCAGCTGGCAGTCGACGTCTACAAAATGACGGTCAAAGTGAACGAACGCGTCGGCGTTTTGAAATACGAAGATGCGATTTGTGACTTACTTTATCATATGAAATATATGTATGTTGGTGACTTCGTTAAGAATGAGGCTGAACAAGCCATTCAGCGCTTATCACCATCAATGCGTGTTAAATTGAAGTATATCTCTCATACTCAACTCGCTAATGAAATACCACCTCACAAATTCAGTGCTACGATCAGCTTTGGGCTTTAAGTTTTAATCTGTTCATTCAAAAACTATTTTATACCATCTTGTTAATTGTATGCCTTTCATTCAAGCCCCCGCCGTGTAATGTGATTTTGTTTAATTTACTACTCTCTTCCGTTGCAAATATAAGTTTTGAGCTGGTGGGGGAGGGGGGAAAGCGATTTTTTTCAGAATTGGTTGGCAAGTCGGGGAAATTTCAGGTAGATTGCGTGGTAGGTATGACTTCGATAAATTTGCTGGTGTTGAAGTTGATTATTTTTGTTATCAGAAATGACAGCTGATCGATTGACGGTAGGGAAGTGATATTGTTATCTATTGATCATGTATTATGAATTGTTCCATTGAATCAATCGGTTACAGCAATTCCCTCACGATTCTCCCATTAATCTCGTTTCATTCCCTGTGTAGTTGTCTCTTTCCTACGTGTTATACTGAAATATACTTTCTATACTCAACGCGAAGTATTTCAGTTTTTTTTTGCGTCAGTTTCAGTGAGTTTCCAATTCCTAAAAAAGGTTCCTCTTTATTTCTGTCGGTATGATCCAAAGCATTTGAAACACAGATTCATTCAATTGTTCAAAATTCACTTGTCTGCAGTTATTTCACTTAATGTATTTTAGAATTTTTTTTGACTTGTGTAAGCTCCATTTAAAGAATGTTGCATAATTGGTTCTTATTGTCAGATCATTCTCCAGAGTCAATAAATTAAGGTGTGAATTATGATCAGCAATTGTAAAATAGGTGGTTACTCAATAGGAATTTCGCACTTATGATAAATCGCGAAATCTTAACTCTGTTCGCTTTTATAAGTGAATTTAAACGCATCGTTCAAATAACGGATTTCATCGTAATTCATATCTGTTCCCTTCTTTATATACTTTCGTGCGGTGTTGCTGCTGTACAGAGAATGTGGTTAATTCTAACTAAATTATTGTTTATAAACATTTCGCTATTTGTTTTTCATTTCACGAAGGATGTTATTCATACATCGATTATTATCTACTTATATTTTTGTGAAAATTTATCAGTTTTTGACGGTTTTGACTCTGAACGTTCTGGGGCGATGGTTGGGAAATGATTCAATCAGCATCGTTGGGTTCGAAGAAGCTAACGAAATTCATGCATAGACTGAAGATAATGAAAGAATGTTGAGTGTTTCTCTAGACTGTATTCGATCTAATGGGGTGAAGTTTTTTTTTATTAACATTAGGGAATGATTGAAGAAAATTGAATTGGATAAGTGTGCATGCAGTCGGTTATTGAAAACGACAATGAGGCAAGAAAACAGCGTCCGGCAGCAATTCAACGAGCACCAATGTCATCTTTTACCGATTCAATGCAAGTGATACGGCAGGTTCAGTTTGCATTGCTTTCTGAAAAGTTTGGGTGGTGACTTTCGACACTTGCACGTTATTTTATGAGGAAATATTTTCGGTGTAAGAGGTGAAATCTTTCGAAGAGTCATTCATGCCGATTATGAGTTTTTTTCGTCTTATAAATGTTCATCACTATGCAACTGTTCATAGTAAGAAACGTCTTATTTACTTGATGAATTGGTATGCAAAATGTGGTAGAGCAAGGCAAGACTGTCGCTTAGAGGAACGGTAGCTGGTTACATTGATACATCACTGAGCAATAGGTCACTTATTGCAGTGCTCATGGTATTGGGGTAACATGTCATGGTTGGAAGCGGAGAAAGTATTGATGACATATCCGTTAGGCACATATTTGATTCGTGATTCTGCTAGCGATCGTTACATCTTTACCATTTCATACAAAACCACCGATTCCGTACATCATACACGTCTCCCTCAGCACGGTGGCAAATTCTGTCTTGGCGGTAAGCTGTTTTTCGTTCTTTTCTTAAATTATAAACTCAGAATTATACTTCGTTAAATGAGTGATCGAATGAGTGGGTAAATAACGTATTCCATTCTTATATCACTCAACACTTGTGCCTTTATTTCTTACATCCCTCAGAAGGATTAGCTCGAATCCAATGCAATACGAAAAATGAATGCAAAATTTCATTTCATGTATATGATGGAAAGGTTCAGATCTGAAAGAGTTGAATAATCAATCTTACAAAAGCTGAACAAAAATGATCAATAAGACGTGATTAATTGATTTCTTTTAGGTCCAAACTCGTTGGTAAGGTCAGAATCGTTGATGGCATTTGTGGAGACGTTAGAAGGATGTGATGAACGTGGTGTATGTCTTCTGATGCATCAGAAAGGTGATCGAGCAGCAACGCAAACAATGACTCTAAATAAAGCGTTACATCGCCATCATCTGTTACCACCTCTCACCTATTTGTGTCGTGTTGTAATTCGACATTCCATTTCATTTTCTTCTCTTCTCAAGCTATCTTTACCGTCAAAACTTTTACGTTACATCCATGATCCAAAATATTTGGTCCCTCCTTGCTAGTTCTTCTTTTTAATCTTGAAATTTGCACAATCGTCCGTTGTGGCACATTTACAGATATATGTTATCTTTTTTTATCTATCATTTTGAGCAGTCTTTGAATACACAATGTCTATGAATATTTGGAATTTTTGTGCGAATGTTACATTAAACCATAAATTCAGAGATTGGTGACGTTGTTTAGTGAGGTTATGATATTTCTCTAAGAGCATCACTCGCCATTTATCATCAGTGGCAAAAATTCAACGCAACACTATCTTTCTTTGCGTACTCATTTGTATGCTTGTTTTTTGTAATCCGTACTGTGATGTATGGATTGTACTTATTTGTTGAAATTGACGGATTTCACTTATATTTGTTGAAATTCAAAGATCAACGGTCATCGAATTCATTGCTTTTTTTGTAGACACTATGACGCTTAGAACTTACCATCGCAAACTGAAAACTAACAATAATTCGTAATCTGCACTGTGATGTAGAGCCAGGATGTTTTTGGACGCCAAATTTTCGGAATATTCTGGACTTTTTGCCAGTAATACTTTTATCTCTGATTACTGTTTCCGGTCACCATCTAATTGATTTTGATTTGGATTCAAACAGTCGAACTCGCTGAAACACTTTGAGGACCAACTTTTTGATCGATTTTTCTTTTGTAGGTGAGGAAGAGAGTTATGTTGAAACTTGATATTATTGCGCGTTAGAAGAAATTAGTTGTAAATTACGATTATTCTTGCACACATCTTGAAGCAGTGTACATTGTAGCGATGTTCTTTAAATTGGAATATTGTCTGTGTACTCTGTAAGTATAGAAACCGAAGTCTAATGCTTGCAATTTTTATTATTTTTAGTATTGTTGCCTACATCTCTTTGGTACTCAACCTAATCGTGAGTCAATGACTGCCTTTTCATTAGTGTTTGTAGGGGATCTCAGCATCCTGTCTTTTCAATTCCTGTCCTGATTCCGGTATTTATTCTCCCATAAATTTCAAAATTCGAGTTTTGATAAAATGCGGCATTTCACATAATTTTTGTAAGGTGTTCCTCGCGAATCACACATCAGTCATTCCCAGTTCATTCATAATCAGCAATATTATTTGTTTACCATCCGAGAGGAATAGACAGAGACATAGTTACATATTAACACCACCTCAGATTCCTCTTTTTTCACAAAAAATTGTAGCATCATCATTCTCGTTTCATCACCGTTGTTTTTTCTTCTGTTTATGATCGTTTTCCCATCCGGGATTGAAAAATGGGATTTTGCTAACATTGTTTTGCATAGATGCATCAGTAAGAAACTGAACATTAATTCTTCTCGGTGCTTTCTTAATTTGCCTTTCTTCTCGAATGCTATTATCGATTGTGATTGTGTATTTGAAGAATTATCGGGTAATTCATTAATTGAATGACTACAGACACCATTTTGTCTCTTTAATTAATAATTTGAATTTTATGTCATCCGGTAAAGCGTGCTAATAGTAAATGTTGTGCGTGAAATAAGCTGAAGTATTATCCAGTATGTGAATAGTGATGAGTGTGAAGGCAGTGAATGTAAGTGGTTTACAAGTGTGCCCAAATCGAATATTCCGATACTCGATAAATATTCAAAGAGTTTTAGAGTTATAAATACGATTGCGATCGATGTTTAATAGCTTTGAATTCAAACATTCTCCGATTAGGAACTCATTTGAAAGTTATTTTCTCAGATATGAAAGTTTCCTTGGTTGCTTAAGGCATTCAGGATATATGCTTCTTTCATTATGAGATAATTTAATGGTGGATTTTTCGTTCTGAGTAGCATTTGCAATCATTTGTTCGCACCACATTTATTTTAAGTTTTGCGTTATTTTGTCTTGAGTTGGGTTCATTGGTTCATTGTTGCGTTGTTCTGAATGGAAACACAAATTAAATTGTCTCCTCTCATCGTAATACACTCTTTAAACTTTAGTTCAAGGTTTCATTGAACGGTCGTCTTTTCATGAATAACTCTGCAGACTTAATGTTAATTTACTGATTAATGTTTCATGCATGTTTCATTCTAACCCATATCGTTGTTATTCAATCATTCATCGTTCAACTAGTAAGCAACTATGTGATATTATTCAATCAATCTAAGTTGATTCGATAAATATGATTCCAGATAATTAAAATTCTGTATATGTACATATAATGTATGAATGATGTTGGATTTTAACATTATTGTTATACTGGTGCGATTGTTGCGTGTATATGTGTATATGCATTTAAAGTTTTGGAGATAAATCGTATAAATATATTTAGAAAATGTGTTTCCTCAATCTAATTGGATCGACCTTGCTATCCATCCGTTAAATTTTTTGTGCTACTTGAAGTAAGTGTGTGGATTTGAAGTAAGTGTATGGATTTTTCCATCCTGAAATGCAGGCTGTCTCTTCGTCTCAGGAACTTTCTGTTCTCAGATCCATTCGAATAAAGACGTGATCGAATGGCAAAAATGTTATCGTAGTGATTTTTGAGATGTGCATGCACGTTACCTGAACTGTAGGACGAGGACCATATTCACATGCATTTATGTTACCAACTGTTTTCCACTTGCAGCCTTTCCATGCAAGAAATGACAGCAAGTTATTTGATTCATACTTCACATTAGACCGTTGTTAAACGAGAGGATGACTTGTATTTCGTCAAACGCATACATTCGCATCCATGAACGTAAGCTGTCAACTACAAATAAGTTCATTTCAGGCATTTGGCAATGTTGGTTTTGAAACAATTTTATCGCGGTTGTTGTCGTCCCTCATTACTATGTTATTATCGCTGTATGTATGCAAGTACAATTTTCGCGTTGAGTTCAGGTTCATTACCTTCAGCAATAGCTGTGATTCGTATCTCTGGTGAGTGATTCGACTAATAGCGAATCTTGTGATTACTGCATCAGTACGTTGTGGGTTTACTTACGCCATTTATGCCGGCTGTCCTCTTATGGGAAATGATTCATAGGATACTTATGAACATTTTAGTGGTACTCATACCAATGTTATTTCTTAGTTTAATGCTTATTATTAGTTTCACTAATTAAGTGACAATTAAGTGAAATAGATAGATGAACATGAGCAATTCCAAGTTGATTTCAGTTCTTATAAAGCCTAGTTTTTTTGCTCATAATGGGCATTTCATTAGTCTAAGTTGATACCTATGTATTATTTAAATATTGAAACAAGTATTTTGCAAAGATTCTCATACATATACGCATTCTTTGACATTGAAAAAAAAGTTGTCCCAGTATGAGGACACTCGGTAGATGTGTGAAATGTCAATGGGTGGCTCAGTTGGTACCTATAGGATGTGCACCTTGGATGGGTGAAGACATGAGCAAAGTTAGTGTTCAGTGGTACCGGAACAAGGGAATAATAAATCATATTCCCTTGAATAGCCCCTTAATAGATCCTCTCTATTGAATAGAACTATTCATAAACATGGGAGAGTTGCATATCGCTGAGTTTTTGCTGTTATGTAAAGCCGTGTGTTGATTTCTTCAATGATTATCATTTGCACAATGATATCGTTCTAAGAGGACAGGTTATTTTCGTCCGTTGATATGATTATTGTACTAATTTGAATGATTGAGGGGACAAAGCATGTTCATTCAGATACATTTAAGTTTCATTCAATTTTATATAGGATTAGGTGCCAGCTAACATCAGTGGGTTAATCACCTTCTGTTTCGAATCGATTTCATTTCATTTCATTACTTCGAGTTGCAGCTGTTATTTTTTTTCTCCAAAAAACCAACTGAATTTAGTTCATGTTCATGTCAACTTTGTTGTCATCCATGCAAATACTCACTTTTTCTCTGCCCAGGTGATTGATTGATTGCTCGAAAATCCAAATTTTGATGCCATGTTCATTTTTTCCAATTGACCACCAAAAATTGGTTCAAAAAAAGTTCTACGACTTGTTCAACGTTCAAAGCGAAAGTTGTTGAGGTGAAAAGAGTGAGCACTGCTTGCAACGGCTGACAAAACGTGACAAATTTAAAGCTCGTCAGTTGTTTTATTCGCGGTTGCATGATTCGAACGGTGCGTTAATCGACCGCGCGATGGCTGTCTTTCTACCAGGTTTCTACTTTCTAAGTCAATCATTTGTGGTTACTTAACAACATTCCATGACCTCGATCAGCAGTCGAGTGGTAATAATGACCACAACCAGCCATAATAATAGTTCTTTCATGCCATCAAAGAACTGTTAAAAGATGTTGAACGGTTCATTTTCCATCTGTTTATTTAGTGCTTTCAACATTTGGGTATCAGTGCTGATTTTCCTGATAAATTCAACCGACTGAACTTCCACTGAAAAAAAATTCGAACGCGAAACAATTTTGCATTCATTAATCCTTTAAAAAGTTATTTTAATGCATATCCAAACAATTTTGGTATCGCGGCAATTCTTGCTATTTTTGAAATTCTGTTAAAATCAATTTCACCACGAGTATCTTATTTATTCGGAATAAGATTCAGTTATGGTATAATATTAAGGTCCATCCACGTTTACTGGTGAAGATACGGCAGAGATCTACGTACATGGCAGTCGAGCGGTAGTGAATTGTGTATGCGACACGTTGAGTTGTATCGACAATGTTCAAGCAGCGAAGGCTGGCGAGTTCACGAAACGGTTCGCTGCCAATTCATATGATAATTGTCGTACAACTGATCGCACCCAGTATAAATTTGTGTTTGGAACTCACAAATAGCAGTTGTATACGACTAATTGATCAATGTTCCTATTTTCGAATTATCTCCTTATATTTGTTTGTTCCTGATTCGGCGAAAGGATTTCTTTCATATGACTGCCTTGAATCAAGTACGTTCCGCTTCACACTAGTTACTGGAATTGATAATAATGAAGATGAGTCAGTGGTTGAATCGCACTCGTCAACGTCACCTTCATTTTTGATACTAATTACAGTGCATTCTTCAACTCGAAGCTAACTCTTGATGATGTGCTGTCGTTGTCATATTTACTCTCCGCTGAAACACAACGTCAACGAGCACTCGCTCTTCATTCCACTCAAATCGGTTCTTGCTTCTTTGAAGATACAGTTATGCAGTGGAAGTTGCAACTTTTTGTAAACTGAACAATAGTTTTCCGCACTATTTAATGAAGAACGGATTAATTCTTTCCAGCCGACATGGTTCTTCCATGCGTAACAGAGTGTCTTCTTTAGTAGATTTCGAAAAAGTGCTCAGCGAGAATGTCTCATAATCAGCTTTCGATATCTTTGAAAATTTTTGACCAGAACCTTATCGTGATTACCGAAGTTCTTTCTGATTGTTAACCAGTTCGAACTCCGGGTTCGTTACAAATGAAACGAGTTTCGCAGAGGTGACAGGAGCTTCAAATTCTGTCTTTCCAGTGATCTTAGGTGACCTTTCACGACCGCAGTTTTTCTCCTGTTACATTAGAACAGTAACACTTCCACTAGCGAAAATTAGGAAAAACTTTGCGTCGAACGTTAAAACTGGTTGAGATGCTTGATGAATGCTATTTAGTGAGCCGAACAAGATCGCTAAGAACAGTCAAGGTGCTATCTTGAGTCCCCTTATTTTGATTGTTAACATAATGAAAAATTTCCTATTTTCGAAAGAAAATATTGGTAATCCGAATCAAATTTCTGCCAATCGTAAAGTTTGTGTTCATGAACCAAGCTTCCGCTGCATTTATAGTATTTCGAATGATCACTTTGTATGCTATCGAACATCTCCGAGCAGTTTATGATGAAGAACGAGTTATGATGTTTTTTTAAAGAACATTGCCCTATCGTAGTAATGATTTAAAAAAATGCCTGATTTGAAAGCGCTCGCCCAAGTGCACTGTGTTCGTTTCACCACTGTAAGAAGTTCAAGGAGTGACATTCATTAAGGTGACTTTTTGCAAAATGTGTTGAAATATTGATGCTCAAAGATATTTGTAATATCATATCGTTATTGAAGGTTCGGTGATGCCAGATGTGCGAACTTCATTGATAGAGTTGATTTGTTCGTTAGAGGCAGGGATCGATTTTGCGGATGATGTGACCTTCGACTGGGATTTATTCCGCTCACATCTGAGAGATATCATTTCTCAACTTCAAACAATCAATCGTCGTGCTCAGAGGGGCTCACTGATAACGGATGGCATCAGTGTTGTTATGTTGGGCAAAACGAATGTCGGCAAAAGCAGTCTTCTCAACAGAATTGGTTGGATAATTTGATTTCTCGTTCGTTTTTTAATGCATCGCCTCAAAGTACAATAACTAGGTCAATGATAAGTGTTCATTTGAGAATTGCATTGCAGCAGAACGAGACGTGGCAATAGTTTCGGATGTTGAAGGTACAACAAGAGATGCACTAGAAACCCGCATTGAGTTATCTTCTGTACCAGTAATTTTTACCGATACGGCTGGTATACGCATTGCTCAAGATTTTCTTGAGGCGGAAGGTATTTCTCGCACAATTGCAAGGTAATTTGTTCAATGAAATAATTGTTTGCTGCAGCCATATCAATGTGACCTCTACAAGTTTTTGCTCTAAATTCAATATCTAGTGCAAAACGAGATTATTTATGGATATTTAGAGCTAAGCAAGCACACTTATTGTTAGCAGTGATTGATGGAAGTAAAAATGCGGATATCACAACTGAAGTAAATGAACTATTAAAACGTTGTCATTGTGAAGACAAATCGAACATTGTCGTAGCGTGTAATAAGGCTGATCTTATTAAACAAACGTTCGAGCAGTCGTATTTATTATCACTGAAATGGAAAGTCGTTTTAACGTCGTGCCTCAATACGAGTGGTATTGATCAGCTGGTAATTAATATGCTTTCGCTTTTTTTTATTCTTTGGTATTCATTATCAAACAGTTTTTCAAATTTATTTTCGCTCAGTACAACATCTTGTTCGAAGTATGTTGCGGTTGAAGTCTGAACTTAATGCTCATTGTCTTACTTTGAACACCATTTGTATTTTTCACACCTTAATCAGGTTTTCTTTATGAATTTCTGGATACTTACATGTAGTGTTCCTGAATTCAAAGTTTTCAAACAACATGACATGTGATTAATATTTGAAGCTGGATGTCATAAAGGAACATATCAGCGAGATATGTCCTGAAGAAGGCAACGATGCTTTATTGAGTCGTTATCGTCAGAGAATTCTTCTCAATGATGCAATTTCAGTTCTTCAAAAAGTTTGTGACTAATAGTGCATAATTATTTAATACAACTATTTGAATTCAGTGTAATTGGACCCTGGCACGAGATGATTCATTCTCACTGTTCACAAAAATTTAAAATTATGTCGAAACAGTATTACAGAATTGGCCAACTCGCCTCCCTTTCAAAATATTCATTTCAATGTCTATTTCCTCATTTAAAATGTTCGATTCGATGATTATTGTCGATGAAGTTTGCTATCATCTAGTTCTGAGTGCTCAGTTTCTTGAGTCGTTTATCATACGGTGATTTATTTGCTTTCTTAAAGCTTAATCAAACTGGAACACCTTCAGAGTGCAAATTGCACCATAGAAATAAAATATATATCGTGTAAATGCATTCTAATGGGAGAGAATGCTAGATTGCAAATTTATTTTATTCCCATGAATTGCTGTCTAATTAATATTAAAAATTTTGTTGAATGATGCTTAGCAAAATCATTCATTGAATACGAATGTTCTGTTTTGATCAGGTGGAAGGTAATCGTGATAGTGCATTGATAGCTGAATATCTGCGTGAAGCAAGTGATCTTATCGGCGAAATATCGGGTACGATTGTTAATGAAGAAATACTCGACCGAATATTTTCATCTTTTTGTATTGGCAAATAAAACTTCTTTATTTATTTCGTTGTGTTACAATTAAACTGTTAATACAAATCTGTTACAGTTATTATCTTTTTCATAGAAAACTTCATTTTTTCATTACTGTTCTTATTATCATAAAACTTCAGCGGTAAGAATACAAGTCAGAAAGTTTGTATCCTTCTTAATAATGAGAAAAGGGCGTGTAATGAAGTTGGAAGATCCACTCGATTCGTCAAGCATGCAAATTGTTCGAGAATTTGTAGGAGAAGGCTATAACTATTGTTTTTAATGATTTGTTTTAATGGTACTACTTAATGGATATGTTCAGTATCTGGCAAAGAGGTATTTCTTTGTTTAGTGTACATGGCTTGCGCGAACTTGTTCTATCTTCAAAGATCATCTATACGAATTTTAAGTACAGTGATGGATGCAAATTCTCAACTGAATCAAAATCCCTTATCCAAAAAAGAAATGCGATCAAAGATGAAACTGGAAATTAAAAAATTGTCTGCCGAACAACTGTTTGAGGAGAGTAAAGCGATTACTGCAAGGGTAAGTGGGCATTGCGCTTTCAGTGTTGACTGGAAAACTTTCGTTGTTTACGATCGCTAAGTGCAGTCTATTCTGTCGTCTAACCGTCATTTCGTGGGCTTTTTGTGTTTCTAGAATTCACTCTGAATGCGATTTACTTTCGGTGCTCACGTGAACCTTGTGTTTGGGTGTGTCTTCAGATACAGATAAACATTAGCTCTTGTAACCAAAATGGGTGGTCTGTTTTTGATCATTACCTGTCTAGTAACGGTTCTCAACCTTTTTTCCCTCCTCGCATCACCTAGGAAATTTTAAGATGTCCTCGCGCTCCCTATAACAATTTTAAAATGTCCTCGCAGCTCCCCCCCCCCCCCCCTCCATAACATCCACTCTTATCTCTCATCCACTACAGTGAGTGGTTACAGTGTAGATAAGTGTTCACCACTAAAGTACGTTCTAGCCTTTTCAAAAATATATACACGTTTAATAGGTAACTCAAGTATGCGTTCTGTTAATTTTAAAAAATGATATGAAGAACATCATCACATGCTTTAAACACATCTAAACATTGAACTCCGTGTGCGTCTACTTTAACGTGTAAAAACCAAAAGCTTATCTCACAAGCCCGGAATATCATCTCGCACCTCTTAAGGTTGCGAGCACCCCAGTTGAGAAACCCTGCTGTACAGGGTTCGTACACTTTTAATGGGTAATTCGTACAGATTCGAACGGCTATCTGAGATGCGGTAAGGTGTTTGATAGTGCTATCTCGTGAAAGTTAAAGGCACAGTTCTCAAGTATGCGTGCTGTTCATTTGCAACCAGAAGCGTTATCGAGAAGAACAGACGAATGGCCCAAGGTGGTACTTTTTATGGTGCTTTCGAAAGGAAATTTTCTGAATCGGAAACGGATTTTTTAGTGGAACGAAATTTTTTTTGCTTTCTCAGTTAATAAGTACTATCAATTAAGGAAGATAAGTTATGTATGAATCAGCCGATTATTTCAACCAGTATTCTGAGTGTTAAATTCACATTTTATGCCAAAAAAATTAAACGACAAAATATGATTGAATATTCAATATAAACTCATACAATGCAAGATGAATTTTGCATGGGAATAATCTTTTTAAAAGGATATTTGCAACATTGACTCATGCTATCGTATGGAGTAGGTCGTAGACGATCGTTCAGTTTGAGATAACAGCATGATAAATAATTGGTACGAGCTATTGGTTTATCACAGCAGATGTGTGTTTTTGATGAAAATGGCTGAAATTAAATGATGCGTTGAAACATTTTGAATGAAATCATGCAACGAATGAACATCATGTGAGAATATAAAAACGATAATATTAGGAGTGCAATTGTAGCAACAAGATGGTAATGAATGCAAGTGACAACAATTGCTTACAGTAAATGTGCCATCATTCGATTGACAACAACTGTCGTAAAGAGATTTCTTGAAGACTGTATTATGACAACAGGTCTCTTTAACGCCTCCATCATAGCTGTTGTTACCACAACACACATTTGCACTGCTCTCAGTCCTTATCAAAACACCATTGCAACACAATTTATCGCTAGCATTCTTGTACCACCACTCTTTTCCACAACAATTTGCACTTCTAACATCGTGTATCTGTCACATTAGCTTTATTATTATCATCACTTCAAATGTTATTAAAAATTAAACCGAGAAAATCTTTCAAACATAGATTGTTTTCATCTTTATGAATGCAGAAAAAACAGGCAGCATTATTAGAAAGTGGGTCTTCTACAGTTAATTGAAGACTTGCAAATTTATGTTTATTGTAGAAAGAATTTTGAAACATCAATAAAGCTGTTCAAATAAACTAAATTTTTGGTAAGTAAAGGGTCCAAATATCATCTACTAGCATTATAAATGATGGAGTTACATAAATGGCGGGGTCTCAATTTGTTTAACTTTTATTTTTGTCTTTTTTCTTGCTGTTTGTTTAGGTTTTTTAAAATGTTTTTTGTTCAACTTTACAAAATTTGGAGCGTTGGACTCTTAAGGCATAACAAATTCACGTTTGCTTCACCTTCATTTGGCTCAAAATGAACCCTTCTGTCTAGTAACGTTTAGTGTTCGTCGTATATTTAATTCGTCGTTGTGTAGGATTGAGGGCTAGTGGAAACTCTGTCGAGGCGTGGAATTGTGACCGAAAAATCGAGGAATAAAACTGTTGGGGAGTAGCTTCCTATTGAAGTTCCAGCTTCTCAAGGAACACTGAATATGATGTATAACCAAAGTGGAACCTTGTTTGTTCATTCGCTCCGAAGCTTCGGTCATGACCCGAGTTAGTCACAAACCGAAGCATACTTTTCAAATGTAATCAGTTGAAAATGGGTGGATCCATTCCAGCCGACCCAATCGTTGATAGTCTAAACTCTTATTCCTTTCGTAGAGTATTAGTAGTTCTAACGGCAGACAGCTCCCGCAATTCAGAGCATAATAGAGAAGTAAGAACTGTGCATTCGATCAGTCTCCATTGGTGATTTTCGGAACAGTCCTTAGAGAGATCGTCGCACAATATGATTATCATTCAAATTTGCCACTGTGATTTATTAGCTTCTGGCGTCATTGAGAACGCTCTTGAGCATGTAGTCTAATGTGCGGATAATCTATGTAATGAATCAAAGTTTACACTTCCAAGGATTAGGCCGATTTGATAAATCAATACCTTTCGCATTTATTTCTACTGAAAACGTGCTTCAACCTTAAGTCACGACCAAACTTTCGGAACGAATCGTGATCGGAAAAAGCTTTGCGTATCGTTTACGTATCGTAATGAGCCCTCATCGAGTGGTCGAAACACTAATGAGGAGTTATTGCCTTTTGCTTTCCAACTTACTGATGAGGATGTCACGCTCTGAGGGATTCTCGTTGGTCAAGATTTTGCTTTCGACGAGCACTTAGTATTACTAGTCATAAGTTATTCGGACATGAAATGAAACTGATTAAAAAGATTCATTTAGTGTTGCACATGCGATTCATATGAAAGTGAAGAAAACCTATGCTTGTTAAACCCTAAGAGTCCATTTGGAAGTTTCGGTAACATGGTAAAAAACCGGAAAAACGTCAAAGTTCAGAAAAATTAAGTGCTCATTGGTCTCAGTTACCCTTAAGCGAGTAACATTTGAAAGGTAAGTCAACCTGTGAACGTTATGCTGAAAAATAATATTAATGAAGCAGTGATAGGCGATGACTTACTTACATGATTGTCACAACATGTTTGATTATTAGATAAAGTTTGATTACCGCAGCATTTACCGTGATATACTGATCCATGCTTCCTTTCTCTAACCGTGTTCTGACAGCAGATTTGATGGAATTGATTGATGACTTGGTTGGAGCAACATGATACAGCTATCAAGTCATTTATGTCCGTGTATTTTTTGCACTGGTTCTCACCACCGCAACATGCAGATATCACTTGAAAACCATTTGACAGTATTATTTAACTTTATGACTTATTTTCATTATTCCAATATTTCCCATCTTCTTAGCGGAAATGGCAAGACAAATCTTCTTTTCGAGAAGTAAAATTATGAAAATGTGCAAATTTGAACGCAAATAAACGAACCTAAATTTGTATGAATGCTCAGAATAGTATCAGCAGCAAATATTGAAACGAACCAAACTGTAGCGATCAACATTCTAAAATGAAACTGATCTTTCAACAGAACATCAAATGATGAAGGTGTATACAGCTGTTTCGGTAAACTGCTACTTTGCTCAACTCTTGTATGTTTGTATTTGACAAGCTGCTTTAGCCAATACGGTGTGAATGTCGCATTCATGCATCTTCTCTCGGTGCTTGCTTCACCCGTCTTTAATCTCTCCCTCACTCTTTCAGAATGACTATCATCCTCATCCCATAGTATTATTCACATGACCTCAGCCACTGACCATCGTCTGTGTTCTATCGAATAAATAGATTTTCAAATGCATATGCAAAATGCATGAAATTGTAATCGGATTTGCATGCACTCAGCCATTTTTATCATTTGTTCCATTTTGTTAATATTATTTCTTAAAGTTTGAGGGTCACATCACAAATACAAACCATTTGACAACCAGCCTGTATTGAATAGTGAAAGTTCCGGAAAAACTAAAAAACAAGCATTCGTTGAATTTTTAATTGTTAATTTTGCAAAAATTTTGGTTGAATTCTCAAATAATTCAAACAATATCAGATGAAAAATTTGGCACCTGAATCGCGTATAATGTATGCAGTAATGCATACCGTTCTGCGCTGGCTGTAAATTTTGACTTATTATCAAAAGGAAATATTCATAATTATAATAATAACTCGAAAATGGGATAGTTTTTGTAGGTGTTATCGAGTGAATGGTATAAAAAATGTTCACGTATATCGGTTTATGTGAGTACAATTGGAGAAGCTGACACAACGAGCATAATACACGACAGTCTTCTGACTGGAAAACAAGTCTTTATTCCAAATTTCCAACGCGGCTCCAATCGAATGGATATGTTACGATTAAATTCAGTTGCTGAATTTGAGAAACTTGAGGCTGTTCTTTGGGGTATAAAACAGCATGCGACACCACACGATGAGTTGAGCTGGCGCCACTCAGGTTTACACTCAATGAATCTATTTTATATCCATCGTCTAATAGCTCTACACTAACCAATTTTGTTCGTTGATTTTAATTTGAAAATTCCATTCAAAATTTCAATCAACGAGGTTGATGTCAATTATATTAAATTTATTATGAAGCGATCATAAAGCGCATTCGCTGTTTCAAAGCCACAAAATGGGAATTCATGTTTGTTTTGCGGCTTTAGAAATTCTAGTGGCGGCTTGAAAATATTCCGCTCAAGGAGCATAAGTCTGATTTTGCATTGGTGTTCGTTAGAATCACTTAATTTTAGGCGCTCTCGATGCAGTCATCGTGCCAGGTGTAGCATTCACAATTCACGGACATCGTTTAGGTCACGGTAAAGGGTATTACGATCGCTTTATCGCTGAACATGAACAAAAATGCGGTTTGACACCACTTAGTGTTGCGTTATCACTCAATTATCAGATCGTTAAACAGTTGCAAACCACCCAACAAGATGCTCGAATAGATATCATTGTAACACCGACCAACGAATATCATCGTGAAAGGGAATGATGAACACATCCAAGTGTGAAAGTCAGTCCAACTGAGAATTGTGATGCTGCTTTCCCAAAATTTTCAGTTCGATGTATTCATTTTGCTGACAAATTTTATTTTAGGAGAAGCCTTTTTTACATTCCATTCGTGACCTTTTATGTTATTATGTCCAGTAATATAAAACCGTTTAACAGTTCATATTAATCCATTATTTTTGTTAGTTGAGGTGAATGAAAATAAACGATCATTTGATCCAACTGAATATTCAATCATAGGCGATGCATAATCTGAAATTGAAATTCTCCATTGATAGTCACATGTTAAAATGGTTTTGCACAAAGTGGTTGATTATGCTCAATCAAAATGTGTTCTTGTAAGCAGTGCACCTGAAGGATGGGAAATACAACACTTGAAAACTTTTTGGAAGAATCTACTGAAGGAGGAAAGAGAATTATTTGAGGAAATGCAGAATATGGTTTCTGCAGTTATTGAGAGGAGGCATGCACATCCAAGCATTCGAAGCTATCGTAATCAAAACAACGTGGGTTTGGCAAAGTTGGACACCAAGATTTAGTTCGAATTTCTACCACATCGTTGAACACGCCCATTGACTATTTACAACAGAAAGCTTGTAAATTTATCAATTTTGTTCAGCGTTTGTAAAAATTTGTTTGACTCGTCGTCTCACGAGTATAATCTTAGTGTTTATGGTTGCGAACATTTGATTCCAGTGCTTTCAGGAAACTCGCTGCACTGATATGCCAACTCATATTATCTCTTTATCAGTACATTCATCCAATTTTCCATCTGTCTTTATAACATTTCAGTCAAAATTTTAAATTCTTCACATTCTCGTCCTACCGCTTAAGATGTCAATTTGGATACCAATTCAAGAAGCCAATTTTGTTCTGAGACAGGAACGAATATAAGTCAGCGTCAGTATTACTGTTAAGTAATGGTTTATCGCAAATTTCACTTGCGAAAGAAATTCATTTAATTATTGCGACTGATAAGCGAAATATGAAGCGAAGGAAAATACCTAACTTGTTTCGATTAGATCTAGCATGCGAACCGAAGCATGGCGCCTTTTCGATTCTGCTTCATCCTCCCCAGTTCCGTCAGAAGTTGTTGCGCTGTGATTAGTGGTCATGAGGGGCACTTTTGCAATGTAGTGGACCCCACCCCACGGTAACCCTTTAACAGCAACGCTTAGGCTTGTGCTGAGGCTATCCCTGTTCTCTCTTTCGATAGTCGTTCACATAGAAAACGAAATGAGTTTTACTGTTGAGTGGTAACCGTTCAACAGCAAAGCTTAGGCTTATGCTGAGACTATTCCATTTCTCTCTTTCGATGGGCGCGTGGGCTGGGGTCCACTACAGTGCAAAAGTACCATCATGAAGATGATGCAATAGTTGATTCATTACCAGTTGCATTCCCACGATCGGTATCACTGTGTGCAAAATACTTGTGGTGGCTACGAACGCGCAACGGTGGATGTCGCAAGAAAGTTCTGTGACCTACTTTTTTCAAACATGTGAAGCGTTTCTTATTTCTACGCTTTCTTTTGTCATGTCAGCAAATCATTTGACAAAAATGAATAAACTCTTCAACAGTGCCCCTTTCATCTTTATTAAAACTGCGATTGTTTAGTTGCTATTGGCAAGCATAGTTATATTTTGAAAGAAATAAATGGTGTGACAAAAGTAGGATGGGATGAACTTATTTCGGATGTAAATTAGCTGCTTATCTTGTTCGATCAATTTATTGGACTTCAGATATGTACGGGTGAGTCTGCACGGGTGGTTCTCACGCTTTTGCGTTCCATGTTTCCCTTTGGCCACATAGCACACAACCATCCAACAATTTAGGTGACCACAGTCTTTGCTCTCTAATAATATATTACTTTTTAGCGATTAATCAGAATAAAATCAGGAAATCACCTATCGAATGAGACGTCCTCTGCCAAGGATTCGTTGGTTGTATCAATGAGAGCAATTTTTTGTGGTCAGAAAAACATTTTGAAAACTTTCCTAGACTTTTTACGAAACAAGAATCAGTCAACAGTTATTTGCCAACCTCATCAGTTTCACCCCTGACACACTCAAACGCCTACCTAGGGGAGTTTTTCCTCTGGAAAGTGAAAACCACTAATGTATTTCTGTTCTCTAAATGTGAACAAGTTTTAGTTTTTTGACAAATCTTACCGGGCGCAGAGTCAGATCGAAAGATCATTCACATCCATTGTTCATCGCTTGAAATAATCTGGAATGCATTCTCTCATCATGCTACTATTATGAACACAGTCAATTCGTCTGTTGCCTACGGGCAATGAAGTCAACTATTTTTTTATATAAAACGCCAAAATTGCCGTTCATATGGTGACACCTAATACTGCTTCATGATTTCTTGTAGATATTTACTGATGCTTTCATGTTTCGAAAATTTTTATGACAATACCGTTTTATTCATTACGGGTCGGATGTGTAATTTCCTTCTTTTAATATTTTTTATTATCAGTCTATCAAAAAGATTGACGAGCAATGTATTCAGAGATATTTCGTTCAAAAGACGAGAACGCATTGAGTACCGATTCAGTTTTAATGGGTGTTCCAATATTGTTCCTTAGAAAAGCACAATGGTTGTTCTCTTCTTTTAGACATTTCAATTAAATTACGCTCATTAAAAATAACTGAACCGAAATTATGGGACAACAAGAAAACAGCAATAATTTGCACTTTGGAGTTTGGTATTATGTTAAAATTGAATCGGTTGTTATAAAGAGCTTATTGGTTCAAGCGTTCACTTACATTGTTATTTGGTAATTATGAAAAGAACTTGGTGACAGTAAAATGGTAATGATGTAAGTTGTTTTGTGAAGGATTAAACGACAGTGGTGATACTTCTTAGTGATCCAGTTCCTTTGCTGACGGCTGTCCCTGTTTATGCCCAAATCAACTAAAGATCGCAATGTATGAGATGAGGTAGGGCGGAGCGTTGTTCATTGCGGTTGTGTTGTTTTTACTAGACATAATGTGGCACATCCGTTTCAAATTTCGTGATAGGTAGTCGCTTTTTGTGATCGTATCATGATTAAATTCGTAATTTGTCACAGTTAAATTAAATCAGCTTGATCCTTTATTTTTGATACTATCACTACTGTACATCAGTGCCCTCAAACAGCTTTGCTATTCGTTAATGATATTATTATTACTGTTACTGTTGTAATCGTTATCACTGCCACTGCTACTATCGTCACCGTACATTCATTCTGTCATCTTAATCTCCATCGATGCGCACGAAATGATTGCAGATTTATCATTATTCGATCTCGCCGTAACATTTCTACCGTCTTGCGCGTCGTTTAATCTTGTTCAACCGACTTTATCTGTATCACCTCATTTTCCAGCTATCATGTATCCGTCAGGAGGAGGCAGATCTCTGAGAGTTGGTAAGTGTCTTTATTCTTGGCGATGTTTTTTTTCTGCTCCATGCATTTCACAAACCTATATTTTCCTGAATGTGCTTCATTTGGTCTAGATGTGTTCATTTTCAAGTTTTTTTCGTCTGTCTTATAATAAGTATTGTCTTTGTATGGATAAACATAATCGCACCGTTATCGAATGCGCGAATGTAAATAGCATATCGATGTTCACGTTCCAGCGACTTGTGCTTTGGCTTTTTTTTTAAAATCAAATTCTTTGATAACGTTATACATATGTGCATCATTTGTCAAAAATGCCATGTGTAATGTTTAAGTCATTCATTTTATATCACTTGGTTCATCAATTGATCCAGTGGCATTGGAATACGATACGATTCAGAGAGAGTTGAATTTTGCATGGATTATCACAGTAAAAAATTTAAACCAAACGATTCGATTGCATTTAAATAACAAGAAGAAGAACCGATCTCATTATTAGCAGTTCCATTCATTTGAACATTCTATTGACAAACTTGCCAGATTTTTCTGCCAAGATCTAGGGAATAATTTTATTTACACAGAGTGTGTTTCTGATATTCATGCAGAAACCCTTCTATGAAAGTGTGCTAGTCTACCATCTTTACAAATAGGTTATTTGAAGACATTTAATTCCTTTTTCAGTCAGGTATTATCCATTCATTTGATTAATACAAACCGTTGGTCAGCGTTCCGTTCAACCGTTCTTAAACGGTTAATCTGTGAACAATAATTGAATGCTAGGAACAATCAGGGGTGATATTTGGCGACCTACTTTAGAGATTGTTCATTGATAGTTGATCAAAACTGCACTATAACGCTTTAAAACATTTTAAGTTCGATATTTAGAGATTCAAAACTTTTCGAGCTTTACTTCACAACTTTTAATATAGCAATCTCAGATCAGTCGTTAGGTTATTAATAATTGCGATCTATAATGCATTGGGGGGTTGCAGCTCAAAAGCGCGTTGTATTTAGCGATGTTCTTTTTCCTTCTAATGTAATAAAGTGGAGAACTTGAAAGATTTAGTGGAGAAAATGATGGAAATTGCTTGGATTGTTCGGTTGTGAACATGAGGAAAAAAGTGTGTTGAATGTTGTTGGTTGTGACGGACATCAATCAGATGTGTAATTACTGAATGCTCAAAACATTCATTCGTCTTATTCAAATAATTTTTGATAGTTGTTGCATGCTTTCCTTTTTTGTTTAATTCTCGTAAAACGAATGCAAACGATCACGCGAAGATGCGTTTTGTTTGGTCTTTATTCTACTTCTATATGCTCTTATATATTGCTTATGATCGCACGAGTGTTTATGTAATAACAACTTGCAGGATATGGTTTTCCCGGTGAATCGGCTCCTGGATCATACCCGCTCGTTGGTACCATGTAAGCAGCAGTAAT